CTTACACTGTTTCACCACCTAGATTGCCTTCTTCACTTTCTCTCTCCCCAGCCATTAAGAATTTGAATAAGCTCACACACGATGTGAGCATCCTGACCTCACTTTGTCATCCGAACACCCCTGGAGGTTAGCATAGCAGGGAATCTAATCCCTATTTTACTGGCCACTGGATAGGCTCATGGAGGTCAAATGACTTGCCCAGGCTCACACAGTATGAAGTGGAAGTGGTCACACCCAGCTCATTGGACTCCTTACCCAGTGCTCATCCTAGTGAGCCATACGGTCAGGAGAGACTCAGCTGCCACCCGTCTTTGTGTCCCCAGACCCCATGTGACCTGGCTGCTGCCCAGCTCTCCACTGCTGGCTCCCTGTGCTCCAGCCACCTTGGCATCTTGCTGCTCTGCCTTCGTGCCAAGCTCACTCCTGCTTCGGGGCCTTTGTGCTCGCTGCTCTTCCCTTCCGAAGCCTGCTTTCCCCAGCCTCACTGAGCAGCTCCTTCTGTCCAGCCCCATCCCAGCTCAAACGTGCCTCGTCCGTGACACCTCCCCAGTACCTCCGCTTCCTTCCCCCGGCCACTCTCCATCATGTCACCCTATTTTATTTTCTGCATAGAACTGACCACTACTTAAAATGGTCTTGTTTCCTTACTTCTCCCCTGCTGCGAGGAGCTTCATTATAGAAGAAATTTCATATTTCTAGTTCAAAACTGTATCTTGGGCCACACACTGTGCCTGCCATGCACTAAGCACCCTGTGAGTGTTTGTGGAATGAATGAATGAATGAATGAACGAGTGCAGCGGTGGCCTCCCTAACGCCGTCCCTCTTCACAGGCTGGCGGCGCGCATCATGTGGCGGGTGGAGAGAGAGGGCACCGGGCTCACGGAGGGCTGCCTGGTCTCTGTGGACGACTTGCAGAACCACGTGGAGCACTTTGGGGAGGAGGAGCGGAAGGAGCTGCGGGTGGACGTGGACACGTTCTTGCAGTACTGGCCTCCCCAGAGCCAGCAGTTCAGCATGCAGTATATCTCGCACATCTTTGGAGTGGTATGGTCCCCAGAAGGCCCCCCTCCCATGCCCCTTCCTCTCAGCCTTTCTGTCTTCCTCCTCCTTTCTTCCCTCTTCCCCTTTGGGAGGGTGGGGTTTCTCAGAGGTGAACAGCTCCGAGGAGGAAGCCCCATCTGCCCAGGGCAGTGACTTCTATTTCCATAAAGATCACATCCAGCCCAGGCAACCAGAGACTCTGGTGAAGTCTGCCAGCTATTTACCAGATGTAGAAGGAACACCTACTGCCCCTTCCATTTCTGAGCCCAAGGACAGGCCCCTAAGTGACCTAACTTAAAAAGATTCTAGAGTATGATTCTTCAGAAAGGAGGGACCATCGTGACAGCTGGGATTGTCCAACAAAGACATTTCCAGAAGCTGCCAGGCCAGAATTGGGAGGTGAGGCCAATAGAAGGACTGAAGGGAGTCGGAAGCTTTAATGAAGACCTCTCATCCTGTACTGTTTTCTGGCTTTGCATACTTACTACGGGGTCATTCCTGCCCCATCTGAAGTTGGCATCCCGCATATAAACTTTATTTATTTACTATCTCTGAATGGTAGATTTGGATGGTAATTAATCTTCTTGATTATTTGCACTTCCTAAATTTTCTCCTCTCCTCATTGAAAACAAAGACCTGATCACCAACCCTTCCTGTCCACCAGTCACTTTGGAAATAAGATTGTTCCTTTCTCCAGGTCTGCCGGGCAGGATTGACGGGAGCCTGGGGGATCAGGAAGCTCAGGCTATGGGCTAAGGAGGAAGATGTCTTCCATTTGGCAGGCCAGGCCCCTTGGGTGATGGTGGTGAGCCGGCTGAGGAGGGAGGTTATTGTAATAACAGCAATAGCACGATCACATTCAACATCTCTTCAGTCCTCACCATGGGGAGAGAGAGAGAGAGAGAGAGAGAGAGAGAGAGAGAGAGAGAGAGAGAGAGAGATTATATTTATTTTTATGCATTTTTCATACCCCAAGAGCAGATATTTGGAATCTATTTCTGTAAAGAACAACTTATTTTTTTTTTTTCCTTTTTGTCTTTTTTCGTGTCCGGCAACGGATCGCAACCCTTGGTGTTGCGCCTGCACCTCGCTCAGCCAGTGAGCGGGAACCGGTCTGTATGTGGGTTTGGCAGGAGCACCACCGCACTCCCAAGCGGCGCACTGTAGCAGTGCGCCACTGGGCCGGCCCCAAGGGCCGGCCCCAAGAACAACTTATTTTTAAGGAAGAGAAAGTCAATTGAATGCCATATCGGTAATAACCTACTTGATTTGCATTGCATTTCAGAGATAAGTGTTAAATATGGCAGTCATCAGATTTTAAAATTGTGAAAAGAGAATATAAAACTATCCACAGACACAAAATAATCTAAAAGAGATGTCAATTTTATTTTATGAGCAGCAACAGGAGTTGAGGGTGGGTAGGCACAGGACGCAGGGGAGAGACAAGGAGACACACACACACACGGGCAAAGCAGGGCATGAAGAGAAAAACCAAGACAGGTAATGAGGAAGATTCATATGAGACTCATACAGAAAAGAGGAGAGACTTCTCAGAACCATCTATCTTTGGCCTTTTTAGAATATAGGCACCCAAGACTTTCAAGGTAGTGATGCACTTTTCAAACAGTACTCTCCATGCTGTTAATCTTGTGGGCCACTTGGAGTCACATAGAGAACAGGAGACTCTTGTTTCTAGACTCTCTGAGGATCTCCAGGGTGAGACTGGGTCTTCCATTTTTTTAAACTTCTCTCAGCAGCTAGGGTGATACTCTGTCCTTAGTCCATGTCTGTTGACTGACTATTTTGTCTTTTTCTCTGGGTAGATTAACTGCAACGGTTTCACTCTCAGTGATCAGAGAGGCCTGCAGGCAGTGGGCGTGGGCATCTTCCCCAACCTAGGCCTGGTGAACCATGACTGTTGGCCCAACTGCACAGTCATATTTAACAATGGCAAGTGAGTATGTCGTTAACTGGGGGCATATGATGGGGATGGGAGACCTTATGGTGTTTTCTGCACTTGACTCAAGCCAAAGTCAACCTGTTCTTCCTGAACTAGCATGGATTTCAAACATGCAGCAAATAGAAATCTCATTCTAGAATAATTGTGGATGGAAGAAAGGTAATGAGGAGGATATCAAAGAATTCCACACGGGTCATTTCCGAGTCTTCCCATATTTCTTGAGGCTGCTTAGACGTGTTAGATAAACCTCTCACTACTATTTTAAAACTTGAAGCCTGGGAGTATCTATCTAGAGGTCATTGCAGAACAACATCAACTGAGAAGGGACTCAGCAGGAACATATATCAGTCAAGGTCCCAGCAGGAATCAGAAAGCATACTCAAAGGGGTTTACCCAAAGAGAATTCAATGAAGGGACAATTTACGGAAGTGTAGTCAGAGTTTAAGAAACTAACAAGGGGGCCAGCCCGTGGCTCACTTGGGAGAGTGCGGTGCTAAGAACACCAAGGCCCCAGGTTCAGATCCTATATAGGGATGGCTGGTTTGCTCACTGGTTGAGTGTGGTGCTGACAACACCAAGCTAAGGGTTGAGATCCCCTTACCGGTCATCTTTTTTATAAAAAAAAAAAAAGAAAAGAAAAGAAACTAACAAGGAATAGTGAGGTGCCCAGGGTCTAGCAACATGAAACCATAACCACCTCTGAAGAAAGCACTGTTCTGGCATCCAGTGAGAACCAGAGCCACAGTGGAGGTCCCCCTTGATCCCCCCCAACACCCAATACTTGGCTGTGGCTTACAGCTGTGCTTGTAGAGAAACCAGCCACTGTCAGAACCATGGTGCAGTAGAGAGGAAGCCAGTGGACTGAATACCCCAATCTCTTTCTCCTCTGGTTGGCTAAACCCAACCAGAAGCCATAGAGCAAAGGAACCTGGGGTATATAGCCCTCAGAGGTCAGCTCTCTGGCCCCAAGAAGGCACAGATTAGGGACATAAGGGTAAAGAGTGGATCTTGGGGTTGGGGCACAAATGGAGAAGAATCATCAAACAGATTGAGACCCTGGTTGTCCAAGGATCAGGCTGGAGAGATCTGGGGGAATGAAGTCTGGGCGATATTAATTGCTTTTGCTCTGAGAAATGCACTCTCATGACAGATGTAAGTCAACTCTGAGCCATCAGCAATGAACAGGTTTTCCCCCCAAACTTTCTAGAAACCAAAGACAGTGGTTTTTGGTTCTCAGCTGCGAAGCAAGCCTAAGGCTCAATACAGGAAGGATTCTGATTTCCATTTTTCCTCCTATGTCTAAAACCAGGCTCTTAAACAATTGAGAAAGTCACTGAAGACAGGAAAGTTTATTTTGGACCCAGATGGTAATCTTTTCCTAGCATTTGTATTTCCCTTCCTAAGCCTCTTGGGGTCTCCAGCGTGCACCTCATGGAATCTTCCCTGGAGGGACTGTCATCTGGGCTTAGCCTGGTTGGCAGAGAGGATCAAATTCAGCCACATACAGGGCTGGACTTTCTAGAGGACCTTTCCCTAAGTGGTGGTGATCCAGGGCTCCTCTCGTCACTATGTGTAACAATCAAGGAAGCTGGAATCCTTTCTTCAGGTCATCTCTGGTGTCTGCTCTGGCTTCCTTGCATTTACTAATTTTTTTTTTTTTTTAAAGATGACCAGTAAGGGGATCTTAACCCTTGACTTGGTGTTGTCAGCACCACGCTCACCCAGTGAGCTGACTGGCCATCCCTATATGGGATCCGAACCTGTGGCCTTGGCGTTATCAGAACCACACTCACCCAAGTGAGCCATGGGCCGGCCCCTTTCATTTACTAATTTTAAGCAGCTATGTTTTACCTGGGCTTCTTGGCTTTTGTGCAAAAAAAGATGACTTTGCGGTCTCTACCAAGCTGCCTGCCATAGTGGAAAGAGCCACGGACACAGTGTTAGGAGCCAATTTTCACCGCAATAATTTTTACATACTACCTGTGTGACCTAATCAGTCTCTGCACACAGTCCAGACTCTCCCCAAGATAGATGTCCAGGATGCTTGTTAATGGGATAATAATAACAACAGCACATACATTTTGCAGCACTATACTTTTAAATGCATTGTCTCACAATGGTCTTATTACCACATTACAGGTGAGACAGTGAGACCTAGAGAAGGATAGTAACTTGTTCAGGGCTAAATATCTTTGAGCCCAGAATGTCTCTTCCGAATCT